CCCCGAAATTTTAAGAAAATCTAAAAAATATTTTCATGGTCTATTAAAGTCAATGCAAAATTATTAAATTCCATTTTATAGATTTTAAATTCGTATTATTTTGTTAGCATATCTTATCACTCATGGACAAAAATACCACGGGTGATAATACTGGAAATCATAGATACTAATAAGTAATTATAAACCTTTCGATAATGATCGCCGATCACTATAATAGAGCTGCACAATATAAGTTTGCCAATAGTGGACGAGCTAGACGATTAAAACTTGTTAWATAGTACCTACCTAATACCTACATTGTATTATTTGTATTTGTATACATTATGTTTTAAATCATTAAATATTATTTTTTTGTTTTACTGTATTACTATGTTTATAAATGTTCATCAGCCCCTCCCGAAATAAAATTCTGGATACGCGCCCGGCAGAGTTTAAATATTTTACTAAAGAAATTATGCATATAAATGCATATTTTAAGGTTTATGATTGATTTTTAAGTATAAGTAAATTATAAGTTTTATTTTTTATATTTTTATAACATGAGGWGCAAAGGTAACAAATAACAAATTTTAGACGTTCAAAAAATATTTAGAGAATATTTTTATGTTTTTTTCCAGAGTACCTATATTTTAAGCTTTTAAGAACCTAAAAATCCACTTTAGTTATAAGTAATATTGGAAGTTAATTGTTATCACTTAACCATGCACTTTTCTTTTTTAATACAACTTTATTATAATTTTTTTCTATCTTAATTTAAATTATAGTTAGTAAAAATATCAAAAGCATTCGTCATATGACAAGATAGTTATAGCATAGGTATAGTGATACAAATATAATTTACAATTTTAAAAATGTAATTAAAATAATATAATGCAATCATGTGTGGTCTCAATCTTAAAAACATATAACAGAAAATTTGAATTCGGTTAATCCAAATATGTGTTAGTATTAAAGATTAATATTAGAGTGAATTAATCTATTATCGCAATTAAATGTAATATTATTTAGAACATCTCAGAGGTAATCAAATGGTTGAAACTATGTGTTATTTTTATATTTTAATTTTCAAGCAAGTTATAATATAAGAATATAAAATATGAAAACTTTAAAAATATCACAAAAYAAATTAAAATATCAATAATAATCTACAAAATGTACTAGATAATGTTCTTACCATTAAATTTGGTATAAAGTATAGGTATATAATACCTATTTATAGTAAGTTAATTCACTTAAAACACAAAATTGGTTCTGTTTAGGTACCTACTACCTAGTCCAAATTTGCCAAGCTGTATGCTTTCAAGACGGAACCCTTGTGATCTTATAATAATTTAATTGAAAAGTGTTCAGGTGCACTGATATCAGATGACAGACATATTTTAAACCCTATATTTTATGTATTATAGGTTATTTATTTAGTTTAAATTATGTGACCAATTAAAACAATACTAATTAAATATCACAAAATACCTAAGTAGTTAACAGACATTTTTTTAATACAAGATAAAATCATATTATTTGGTTAAATATACATAATATAATAGCCACCTAACGGCTATCAATAAACACAATATTTTAAATAATTTATTAAAATGTACCTACCTAATAGAGTAGGTAATTAGTAATTACTATTAAGTACTTACCAAAAATTTCAAAATCTTGAATAAAATTAAAAGCACTGTATCAGAATAWCAGATGWCAAAATAATATAACCGTAGATATCTGATATGATGTATATTCGTTTAACGTTTTAAAATAAAATGTCTGTGGTAGTCAGGGGCGGATCCAGGAATGTTTTACGGAGGGGGCGCAAAATTTTATTTATACCTACGACTAAGCTGCCTGCGTTGTAACATAATACGTAAAAGCAACAACAATTATGTTGGCCCTTAGCCTTCAGGAATATACAAAAGAATATATAAAATAAAAAAATTGAATCTAAAAAACATTTTCAAGTAATTATTTTTAAGTACTTGAAATATAAGGTATACTAAGAAAAATAAACAACAATAGTTTACAAAACAATCTTTTTTTTATTAATAATTAAGTATTTTTATAACACAAAATCGATTTTTCTTTTTTTTTCTTTAGAAAATCTATTTACTATATTTTCTATGTTATTATTATTGTCAATATTAATGTCTTTATGGATATACATAAGTGCTAATCCAGTTAATCGTTCCTCTGTCATTCTAGCCCTTAACCAAGTTTTAAGTAACCGTAAAGAGGAAAAGCTTCTTTCTGCTGTCGCAACAGAAATGGGCAGTGTAACTAATATCTTAATAAATTATGTAAATATTGGATAGTAATCTGAATCAATATTGTTCAATGTTTCATGAGCAGAATTTATATTTTTAAACTCAGGATTTAACAATAAAGAACTTTCTATGAGCTTAAGTTCTCCTTCAAGCTTTGTTGCTATTATATAAGAGGAACTGTTTAATAAGCTGCTGTATTGATTCGAAACTTTCTCAATTGCATTATTAAACAGATTGCTGTTATTTATTATCTGAGTCAGATTAGAAGGAACTAAAAAGTTCAGATTAAAACCTTGCATAGATATTGTTACCATAGAACCTTATATCAAAATCATGAATGATTTCGTCTAGTAATGGTATATAAATTGATAGACGCCAGTATGTATAAATATCATCACCAGACACATCAAAGTTGTCACGATATCTTTGTCTTTTTGTGATTCTCGGTACTTTTACTTCTATATCTAATTTTTCCATAACTTTAACGGCTTTCTCAAAAATCTGTTTAAACACATTTTGTGCATCATCACGTTTTTTACCAAGAGTAGCCCTTAATTCCTTTACTTTACTTGTTGCTACGCTAAGATCAAGTGTTTTTGTCTGTAGCATTATAGTGGTCGGGTAAGACACATTATGTCGTTTAAACAAAAAATGCTAAAAATAAATTCACAATCTGTAGTCACTTTATATAGACCTTGCGCTTTAGATGCAGTAGCCGAATCATGCCATGTTGAAATTTCTAATAAACTTTGAACTATTAGAGGTAAGTCATTAATGAACTCTAACAATGAATCGTGTCTTTCTATCCAACGTGTAGTACAATGACTACTTAGTTGGTAGCCTAAATTTTTTTTAAAAATAAAATTGCGTTTTGAAGAAGCATTAAAAAATTGTACAATTTCTTGTATTGTTCCAATTGAATTTCTCACACTTTTAACTTTAATCGATCTCGACAGAGTATTATTTAATGCATGGTTTAAGCACGGGCAAATTAAGCATTTTTCGCTACAGTTTTAATTTCGGCTGCAGCACCACACAGCACAGACAAATTCACACTACATCCGTCACAGCCTATCCCTATACAAAATAATAAATCTAATCCTAAATTTTTTAATTGTTTAACCACTGTAGAACCAAGAATTTTACCTGTAATTATTGGCTCGACTATATTTGTGTTTAATGCATTTTCACTAAAATCTAATTTAGAATCTAAGAATTCATCACTTTGTGAATAATTACTTTTATGTAAATCCACAAATCCCACAAAATCTTCTCTTACAATATTTTCAAAAATATACCTTATTGATAGGCTAAGTTGTGATGTATGTGAAACATCTGTTGTTTCATCAAAAATTACACAATAAAATTTAGCAAGTTTAATTCTTTTTAATATTATATCAAGTACTTCTTTACCACAACACTGAATTAGTTCATTAGCAGAAGTTTTACTTATATAAGTAGCATTTTTACCCGACATTTTTAAATGATTTTCTAAAATTGTATCTCCACTTTCTATACGAAATCGTAATAATGCCCGAAAATTTCCATCATTTGCTACAAGGCTATCAGATTCATTTATTTTATACAAATCCCCGTCGTCTCTATGTCCCCTTAATGCAAAGTAGTTTTGTCTACCATGAAAAATTATAGTTTTAATAATTGGAACGAGTCTTTCCCTATTATCCAATATTTGTTGTTTACGATTATTTTGCATTATATTTATAATGTCAAGAGAATGATTCTTATACGCATTAAGGAAATCTTTACATTTTTGAAATGCTAATTTATGGTAGTCCGTACGGGCATGATATTCGAGAATTCCATCTTTACCTGACAACTTGGAAAACTTAGTTAAGGGCTCTTTTACTAACTTTTTAACATGCACTGTATTATTGAAACCTACTAAATGGTTTGATATGAAAATAACACAATATTTACAAAATAAGCCTTTTTTTACATCAGAAACAATTAACCACGGATATTCAGAAAGATGATTGAAATTTGGGCGTCGCTTCTCCTCTCTTTTACACTTTACATGAACAGAAAAAGGAAATATGTAATTTTTACCGGGTTTCCAATGATTTTCAAGAATTGCATGTTTTGTAAAATCGTCGATTTCTTCAATTTGGTCAATGTAATTACCAATATCATAACCTCCAGCAAGAACAGTTTCATCAGTATTAATGCTACTTATGTGATTGCATCCGATTGAGATGAAATCGGTATAGAAGTAGTTGAGCTACTAGAACTTGAACCACTTTGGACATRACTAGAGTTTTCATTTTCTTGCAAGATTGAATTGTGTCTGATTACGAACTTATCCATAACAGCTAATTTAAACTAAAAATTAATATGTATTGTATACAGTTAAATAAAAATAAATTATTATGAATAATTACCAAAATCGTATCCTCCAGTAAAAACAGTTCTATTATATGACAGAGACACAGAGTACGTCTATTATAGTATAATATTATACAAGATATTACGCTATTACGCAGCGTACACACAATATATTCCACACATCCACACTAATGCAATACCGAATGCACAAAAATAACACTATTTACAAATCAAATGACGTGTGAYGGCCGACGATTGACGATCGACGGTCGGTTTTCAATAATTATTATCTTTATCTTTATAATGTTTTTGAAGTTTTTTTTCTCCCAGAGGCGACATTAATGGTCGACGATGGCAAGTCATACCGATAATTATATTAATTTATAAATAGTTATCGACGACAACAATCTACTCGGCAACAGATAAAGATCAAGCTATACAATAACAATATACGTATGTCCTATATACACGTTGTTATTGATTTATTAATCATATTTTATTTTCATGATATTATTATAAGAAATAACCATTATAATATGTATTGGTACTTCGGAAATTGTTTATCGTTTATTATTGACGGCGATCGATGATGGAACGCAATTTAGCTATACCTAACATAGTAACACACACACTGACACACTAGTCACTACACTATAAAATGTATAAAATGATATTATTTTATTTTTCGTAATTTTATAATACTCTAGTTAGTAATTGTTATGAACCACGCAAAAAATTGAAAACCAAATATATTATTTACGAGTACATAATTCAAACCTATTTTAGGGATTTGGGGGGGGGCGTGCGCCCACTTCGCCCCCCCCCATGGATCCGCGCCTGGTGGTAGTGTTCCGTGTGTTTGTCTTCAGGACACAAATTACATTATGGCACATTGGCACAACCGGCTCGCYGTCGTCACTTGTAAGTTGTCGGGAGTTGATCGTTGATCGGTCGGAAAATAAAGATAACAATAATAATTCGATAGGTAATAATTAATATTCCATACGTAAAATATTTATTTATATATTTTRCTTGGAATTTCGAATAACATACTTTATCATTTATAAGTGTAGTCTGTAAGATTCTATAGATAATCGTTCGTGGGAATCGACAATATTGTACATAAGAGGTAAGTAGGTACATATTACATAACGTTATAACAYGATGTTTTATTTAWAGTTACTATTTATACTTTATAGCTAACAATTTCAATTATTTATTGTTRTTATAAAAGTTTAGCTCTAGCCCCTAATTATTCTGTTTTCTTGGAAAACCCGAAAAAATTATAAAATACTTGAAATACAATTCTTGCTAAATATAAAAATGTACATCTAATGTGGATCATAACGGGACCGAAGACCGGACCAATATCGGAATCGGTCTTAAACCTAGACCGGACCAAGTTGAAATTAAATAACATTATTTTTTATTCTACCGAACCGAACTGTAACACTAAATATGTTGATTGGGACTAGACCGAATATATTTTTAAATGTATTGAACTGGACTGAACCAAACCGTTACTTAATTTTATATCATAAGCCTGGACCAAATCAGACCATGGTCCGGTTCGGTCCGGACCGGACTGATATAAACCGGACCATGCAGAGCACTAATACGTAGGTATACGGTATACATCTATATATTTTTAATAATAATAAAACATTAATCCATAGGCTATAACATTATAATATACAGAGATCTAAATACTCTAGATTCGAATAAATACAATGCGTCAATGCAAACTTGATTGACGAGGATATCTTATAATATTGTAATATTGTATGTTATAAATTATAATATAATTGTAGTAATAATACGTATCTTCGGACTATCAGCAGTTCAACACTGTTCACTGTTAACTTTTAAAGTTCTCCTAATTAATATTATACCTAATATTTTTGCATATTTTAGGTTATACCTATTATAGTGCATATTCATTATTACTTATTAGTGCATATTAAGTGTTTTAAAATCCCAAGCTTGATTATTATTATACAAACAGGCAGTACTATCAGTACTCACTTCCTACATTGTAGTCTGTGGACAGTTTGTTAACGCACTACAAATTACAATCATCACTATTTGGAAATTGTCGAACCACTAGTCGTGTCTAGTATTTCATCGAAAAAAGTTAAATTAAATGGCAAAGAAATACAGAATATAAAAAAATGCCAAACACTTAAAATTTGAAGAATTCTAAAGTATTATCATAAACTATTTATATATTATACAAAAAAAAAAATGTAAACATAACTAGGTACACAATGCACCGATTAAAAATTGTTGAGTTGTTATTAAAATACCTACAATTTTATATTCTAAACGCAGTGAATAAGCTATGGATATTATAGTTTTATATTGATGTATTGATATGTGATTTTTTTTTTATGTAAAATATCTACATTGGTTCTATTTTCTAGTAGTAAAATGTATGTAAATTTGTCATTAATAATCTCTATACGAGTATAACTACCTCTGTCCTCTATAGATTACACATTCATCTACTCGGTACTTTATATACTGGGTAATTTTTCGAAATTATCATTTTGTTTTTTACACCTACCTGATAATAATATACTGTTCGCGTAATCATAAGCAAGTTTTACTGGCAACGCTATGCGCGATGGCTGAAAATTAAAATATAWTATGAATTTTCTCTCATTTGCACAGCGAATTACACCCAAAATGAGTTAATTAATCATGATTTTTTACCCGGACAACGTCTGCAGGTTATTCAGCTAATATTGTATGTAATTTAATTATATTATAATATATAAATGCTAAAAATTTTCCCCATTTTTTATTTTATTAATGATTGATATTTTGGTGGGGGAGGGTTATGATGACTTATGAGGCGGCAAAATGTGTGCCCCGGCGACAACTATTCCTTGCCAGCGTGTGTTTTGCAGAAGATGCATAATGAGGTGGATGGATGAAGGGAATACAGGATGTCCGTTATGTAGAGCCCACATAAATCGTCTACAAAAGTATAAATATTTAACTATTTATTTTTTATAATAATGTTATTTAATTAGTTTGTGTGTTTTTAATAGTTAAACTCAAGAAAAATATCGAATGATCAAATTAATCAAAAACAATTTGTTATATATTAAATATATTTAAATGTTTGTACCTACATTTTAATGACAGTTAAATAAATAACAACAAACAACACATTATAATATTAGCGTTATATTGATATTATCTTTTTTAATTATTCATAAAAATTAAAATATTTATGCTTAATTTATTTTTATGTTTTACACAAGCCTTGGTTACTGATTAGTAGTTGTAATCTAGGTAATTATACTAAAAGAGTGAGGTAATTTGTTAATATTATGTGAGAGTAAGACATTTTTGTTTCTTATTTTGATACTTTTATTGTCAAGGAATTATTTTCAATAACTAATAACTATTAAATAAATAAATAATTATTATATTATTATTATTATTCAATAACTAAAAACTATTAAATAACTATTTACATTCCAATTGGAATTTAAGTAGTAGGTATTTGAATATTCACTGGACATATTTTACTAGTTTATAATAATATTTGTAGCCTTGTAACTACTTTTTTATCTGTAATAAAAAAAAATTCATAAAAAGCAATACTTTTGAAAAAAATTCAAAAATGTCTAAGACAACATAATGTTATTAATTATTACTTTTTACTTTTTARTAGGTATAATTTTATATAAGTACCCCAGGGCCCAGGGACCAAGACACAATATGATAGGTACATCAAATTTATCATACCAAGACAGATGACAGACCTAACTATTTTTAAATAACTATTAAAAAAGCGGGTAAGTCGTGGATGTCGCTCTGCTGTACTGCAGGCACTTCATAACATTAGCCAGCAGGTACAACAAACACAAATACTATTTCATATACAATTTAAAATGACAACTTGTTTTATTAAAAAATAAAAAGCTAGAAATAAAATAATATTCATACTGGGAAAACTAATTAAATACAATGTATATTATATGATATTAAAATTACATTAAAATCAAATACAGACTTTTATGAAGAAAAAAAAGCGGGTAAGCGGATGTCGCTCTGCTCTACATTAGGTGGTGGGGTGGACCTCTGACTAGGGTAGGTTAGATTTGAATGTAATGATAGGTATCATTGTATACGAAAAACGATTCTGAACGGAGATGATTTGTCAGTCTAGGATATATTATAGATAATTAAAATTTTTCAAATCTTTGATTTAAAAAGGAAATTTTGTATAAATTTCTAGCTTAAAATAATTTGCGAATTTTCGTAATTATTACGTATTTAGGTAGTCAATATTTGAACTTCAAATGCTAAT